CTTGCGACTAGAAAAGCCGGGAAGGAAGCGTTTCATCACACTGCTTGGAACTACACAAATAACGAGCCCTGTATTATAGCACTTTGTGTTGGCAAAAGGACCGCACTGGAACTACACAAATAAGGAAGGAGCACTGTATTATAGCACTTTGTGTTGGCTAATGCGCTGCACTGGTTGGAACTACACAAATAAGGAAGGAGCACTGTATTATAGCACTTTGTGGTGGCTAATGCGCCGCAGAGCGAGCAAGCACTGTATTCTAGCACTTTGTGTTGGCAAAAGGGTTACACAGGTTGGAACTACACAAATGAGCGAGCAAGCACTGTATTCTAGCACTTTGTGTTGGCAAAAGGGTTACACAGGTTGGAACTACACAAATGAGCGAGCAAGCACTGTATTCTAGCACTTTGTGTTGGCAAAAGGGTTACACAGGTTGGAACTACACAAATGAGCGAGCAAGCACTGTATTCTAGCACTTTGTGTTGGCAAAAGGAGCGCACAGGTTGGAACTACACAAATGACAAACGCACACACAGCCACAGAAGACTCTTTAATTTTTTTAGAATATTTTTGTGTTTTTTTTAAGAATAAAGAAAGGTATTTTTAGAAAATATTCAAAAATGGAAAATGCACAAAATGCTCTCCCTGCCGTGGAGGAAACACAGCCACAAACAGGGACCAACTAGAGCACACAGCCACAGAAGACTCTTTAATTTTTTTAGAATATTTTTGTGTTTTTTTTAAGAATAAAAGAAAGGTATTTTTAGAAAATGTTCAAAAATGGAAAATGCACAAAATGCTCTCCCTGCCGTGGAGGAAACACAGCCACAAACAGGGACCAACTAGAGCACACAGCCACAGAAGACTCTTTAATTTTTTTAGAATATTTTTGTGTTTTTTTTAAGAATAAAAGAAAGGTATTTTTAGAAAATGTTCAAAAATGGAAAATGCACAAAATGCTCTCCCTGCCGTGGAGGAAACACAGCCACAAACAGGGACCAACTAGAGCACACAGCCACAGAAGACTCTTTAATTTTTTTAGAATATTTTTGTGTTTTTTTTAAGAATAAAAGAAAGGTATTTTTAGAAAATATTCAAAAATGGAAAATGCACAAAATGCTCTCCCTGCCGTGGAGGAAACACAGCCACAAACAGGGACCAACTAGAGCACACAGCCACAGAAGACTCTTTAATTTTTTTAGAATATTTTTGTGTTTTTTTAAGAATAAAAGAAAGGTATTTTTAGAAAATGTTCAAAAATGGAAAATGCACAAAATGCTCTCCCTGCCGTGGAGGAAACACAGCCACAAACAGGGACCAACTAGAGCACACAGCCACAGAAGACTCTTTATTTTTTTAGAATATTTTTGTGTTTTTTTTAAGAATAAAAGAAAGGTATTTTTAGAAAATGTTCAAAAATGGAAAATGCACAAAATGCTCTCCCTGCCGTGGAGGAAACACAGCCACAAACAGGGACCAACTAGAGCACACAGCCACAGAAGACTCTTTAATTTTTTTAGAATATTTTTGTGTTTTTTTTAAGAATAAAAGAAAAAGAAAGGTATTTTTAGAAAATATTCAAAAATGGAAAATGCACAAAATGCTCTCCCTGCCGTGGAGGAAACACAGCCACAAACAGGGACCAACTAGAGCACACAGCCACAGAAGACTCTTTAATTTTTTTAGAATATTTTTGTGTTTTTTTTAAGAATAAAAGAAAGGTATTTTAGAAAATATTCAAAAATGCACAAAATGCTCTCCCTGCCGTGGAGGAAACACAGAGCACACAGCCACAAAAGAGTCTTCTCTTTTTTTAGAATATTTTTAGGTTTTTTTTTAAAGAATAAAAGAATAAAAGACAGGTATTTTTAGAAAATATTCAGAAATGGAAAATTAACTAAACTCAGCTGGCCCTGATGTAGAGCTAACAGCAGGAGACAGGGCAAACGATCTAAATTAATCTAAAGCTAACACAGCCAAAAAACAGCCAAAAGCACACACCAACAGAAGAGTCTTTTCACCAAGCCAACCAAGCCAAGCCACGCCAACCCAAAGCAAGCAGCCCTCCCAGACCTCTCTCCTCCCTCGCCTCCGCGCTACAAATGAGCTCCGCGGCCGCGCGGAGCCGCTTTTAAAGGCCTTGCCGGCCAATCAAAATCAGCCACGGTGCACTGCTTGGGTGCTTGGGAGCGCCGGATTGGCTCCCAGGCACCAGCATCCTCCATCCAATTTCCGAAACGGGCGGAAGCTCGTTAAAAGGATGGGGGATGCCGCTTCGATATTTTAAAACCCTTCCGGGTTTGAAAATATGTTTTGATATCGTTCCGTAAATGCTAAAAATAACGAATGTTTTCCGAAATACAAAATTAACGAACGAAACCGCACAGGCCTAGTAAATAACAAGATTCTATTATATCTCTTAAATGGTTGTGCTAGCTTTGGGTCATTGCAGATGTAGTTCCATCATCCCTCGTAGTTTCTGGAAGACTAGATGTAGATTATTCCATTCTTTTTCATGGTAGATTTTTCTCTACAACTAATAAATTTGTCTCTCTTTGATATCTGCTCTCATCCTGTGTATCTGCTAATTCAACCCCAGCAAATAAGTGAGTAGTAGAACAGATGCAAGCGGTGAAATCAATGAAACCTGGATGTGTTAAACGTTGGCTTGTTGTACCCATAAGGATTTCATTAGGTGCCACCAATTCTGCTGCATGGAGTCTGTTAAATTTGGTCTGTTCTCTCAATATCACATCAAAATGAATGTGTAACTACTACTTTCTCAGGTATCCCATTTTTCAATTGACTTGATCGCAACTTTCTTATTCAAGTGTCAAATCTAAAATGGCATTTTTATACAGTATCACAACATGAAACAAAATGGGCAGTAAACATGGGAAATGAACCAGACAAATAGCACAACAGAGTTTCATTGTAGCTATTTGCTTAACGCCACTTGCAGCCAAATGTTACAGTGTGTGCCATTCTGAAAAATCTGTAGCAGATTAATGAAGTCATTAAGGACTATTGGACTCCCCAAGCAATTTCAGGTCCTGTACCTCCTACAGACCTGCTTCAACTTAACACATATATCTGTGAGTCAGTAGATCCATAGAGAGAGGGACCAGAAGGAGGAATTAATAACCTGACTCTTAGCCAGGACCATTCCTATTAAAAACATGTCTGTTGTAAACCTAACTTGCAGCTTTGAATGCAACAAAATGATGAGACACATCTTAGTGCGGTGGTTCTCAACCTGTGGGTCCCCGATGTTTTTGATCCTCAATTCCCAGGAATCCTACCAGCTGGTAAACTGGCTGGGATTTCTGGGAGTTGTAGGCCAAAAACATCTGGAGACCCCAGGCTGAGAACCACTACCTTAGTGGAAGTGTCTGTTAGCTTTAATGAATGTGGTGAGAATGATACAGGAACATTCTTTGTTTCTTTTAGATTTATAACCTATTTTCCTCCAAAGCAATGGCCTTCTTGGCAGGGATTTGGAAGAGTGATACTTGTGACTTAGCTATCTCTCAGACTTAGAGTGCATCTACACTGTAGAATTAATGAAGTTTGATACTTTCATTGCTTTCATTGCTCAACGCTATTGAATCACTGGAGTTGTAGTTTGGTGAGGCACCTGCACTATTTGGAAGAGAAGACTAAAGAGCTTATCTAACTACAAAACCCAGGATTCCATAGCACTGAGCCATGGCAATTGAAGTTGGGTCAAACTGCATTCATTCTAGAGAGTAGCTGCACCCTTAGACAGGAATAACATCATTCTTTGAGGGTGAGGGAGAACTTTAACTGTTTAATTGTTTTTTCTAAGAATGAGACCCTGTTGCTTCACTAAACATTGGAAGAGATGTACATGGTTCAGGCTTCATAGCTCGAGAGACAATGCTGCATTGGAATACTGAACACAAAGGTTTTAAGGGAGTCATTCTTCATTAATCTTCTACTGAATGGAAACAGCAAGTAATTATAGCAATTTTCTTTTCAATGTGAGAAAGTCTTCAAAAACCACGCAGTTTCCAAGCACCAGTCTTAATTTGGAATATATTTTATACAAAAAAAAGGATATGGTTGTTTTGCGCATAAAACAATATTTTCAGTTCAAGAAATAGCAGAGAAAAAATGTTATAGCTTCTTCAGAAAATGTTGTTTTCTGTGCAGATCAACTCATGTGAATTTAGCAAGGAATAAGTCCCCAATTACCTCATTTCTGGACAGGAAACAGATATTTTACAGTGTCCCACCCAACAAAATATTATCTGTCCATGTTGCACATTAACTAAGTTCTGCAGCTAGAAGGGAAATAATTACTTCTATCTGAAGGACTACCATGAGCTGCTAATCTTCAATCCATTTGCAGAGGCTGGATCTACACTGCCAAATAATTCTGTTTGAACTACATTGTATAGTCAGTGTAGACCAGTGGCTGTCAACCTATGGGTCCCCAGGTGTTTTGGCTAACAACTCCCAGAAATCCCAGCCAGTTTAGCAGCTGTTAGGATTATTGAGAGTTGAAGGCCAAAACATCGGTGGACCCACAGGTTGAGAACGACTGGTGTAGACTGATATAAAGCTGTTTGAACTGCATTGAACTGCACTATATGTGTCTAATCTGATCCTATAATAAAGTTCAAATTCTCTTATTAAGCAGTGTAGATCCAGCTTGAGAAGTCATCCCCACTGAACCCTGGGGCTGAGCACTAGATTTCATCACTACAATATTATGCATGATATTGATGTGCTTGCACCTTCAAGCCTGAAATTTAGCATTCAATTTTTAATAGATAACTAAAAATATGTTCTTCAGTTATGTGATACATATTATGTAGAAAATTGGGGAAAGGGTACATATACACACTGGTAGTTAAGATAATTATTAAATTAGAAGGCTAGCCTAGATGGGAATAGACCTATTCATATTTAATAAGAAGTTCATGTCCAACTGTCACCTGTGTGCAGCATAAAAAGTAGTTTGTAGTATTTACCTGAAACAAGGATAATAAGGAGTTTTGCTCCAGGTTCTAAGAGACTGTGAAAGAATTTAATTGTTGCTGGGATGTCTTTTACATAATACAGCATCTAGAAATAACAAAAGAGAAAATTGTAAACTGGATGCACAAAAATGTTTCTGTGTTTTCTTTTGTTAGGGAGAAACAATTCAAATATATACAAACTCGAAAAATTTATTTATCCAGGGTTGTTGTAGGTTTTTCGGGTTATATGGCCATGTTCTAGAAGCATTCTCTCCTGACGTTTCGCCTCATCTGTGGCAAGCATCCTCAGAGGTTGTGAGGTTTATCCGCTTTTCTATTTATCCACTTTTCATCCAGGTTCATTGCTGATGCAAATGAGAGCTTTGCATTTACCTTTCTACAGCAAAGTTTGTATAAATTCTTCTTTAATTGTGTAATAGTTTCTAATATGTCAATCTACTCAAGTAAGTTAAGTTAGTGTGGCAGATACAAAGCTGAATATAATTATTCAGCCCAACTAGAAAAGATCAGCTTTTTTTGGTCAAGGGGTTCTTCCTAATGTTCTATTATTGTATTGATGGGATTTGCAAAAGTGTTGATAGAGTTGGAAGATCCCACATGGGCTATCTAGTCCAATCCCCTGCCATGCAGGAAAAGTACAATCAAAGTACCCCTGAGAGAGGGCCATCCAGCCTCTGTTTAAAAGTCTCCAAGGAAGGAGCTTCCACCACACTGAGGTAGAGAGTTTCACTGGTGATCAGCTCTTTTGGTCATGAAGCTCTTCCTAATGTACTATTATTTGACTCTCACTATGACAGAATGAATCTGGACTGCTGACCCAGGACAACAGATTAACACATTCAAATGAAAATGACTAAGAGAGTCTTGTGCTATTTTAAAGTTAGTAAGAAAGAGTTGTGCTCAGTGGAATTCCTCTGGTACTGGAGGAAGATGGTAGTCTTGTAATTTCCAAATCTTCATCTCCATGTAGACTTTTATGCTCCTGAAAAGCTGCTGGAAAGGGAGGGGGGGGCTATCTACATCATGGTGACAAGTGCTGTGAGGGGCTTCAGATAAAAGGTGGTATCAACATAAATTGTCCTAACTTCTATTTTTCAGCAAAATGTTTCTTCCATATCCTCCAAAGGGGAAGATTTTCCATTTGTAGACAAAATTCTGAATCCAACCTCATTTACACTGGCATATTTTTTGTGGATTCAAAATGAACTTTAAGAAATTATCATTGAGCAATCAGATATCTTTTGCACTTGGTTACACACACAGGTATATATTGCACTTAGAAATCATAAATTGCATGGGTTTACAATAGATTATTTTTTTACATTAAAGCATAACATAATACATGAAGAGTAATACATAATGTAATGCCCCAACAACAGCTCAGTAGCAATATACTATTCATGCCTTTACCTGGATCATGTGAATAAAGTTCCACTTCTTCATCTCTTTGCTTGCCTTTATCCGACCTTCATATTCCAGTGAAGTCTCTTTGTGCCAAGTAAACTTTATGTTCTCAAGGCTTGATGCCTTTGCAACACGTTCTAAAATATGATAGTTTCACAGTTTATCTCGATTGCAAATACGGAATAAATTTCCATATCAAATGTTGAAGTAGCTGGAAGCCATATATTTTTAAAAAATATGACATTGGTGTCAGTGGTGAGACTAATCCTGAGCTGCCAGCTGCTGCTTTACATTCTCAGCAGATTCACTCACTTTTATGGAACAAACCAAGATGTGAAAGAAGGGACTTTTTACTGCACAAGTACTATGGCGTTCAGAATCTGTCCCCATTTCCACTTTCTCCAATATTGTAATGAATGAGAATGGAAGAAAAAATAAGTTTGTTTGCTCATTTGATAGCATATTTAAAAAGTAAGAAGTAAACATCTTAAGATGCTTAAACTGTAGACTCAGGTAGTAGACCAGCAGCTTGCCACAACTGGCAAGGCTTACTGTATATACTCATATGTAAGTTAGGGACAGGTTTGGGGGCCAAACTTATGGTTTCAATATAACACACTGATAAGTCATTAACTTGTTGCTGCAGTTTTCAAAGACTTCCCGAGAGGATCCATGGATTTATCTAGTTTCCTCTTTCCTTCCTGTTGGAGTAGCAAGGGCTTTACCCTTTGCTCTACTCTTTATCCACCTTCTGGCTAGAAGTAAGTAGACTAAATTAAATGCTCTGTGCACCGTGTGAGTAAGAAGGAATAAGCCTGACATGCCATCTTGATCTGGGAACAGCTCATTTAGTATTTCTATCTTAATTTCCAAACAGGAAAATGTGTGTGCATGCACACAATTGAGTATCAAGCTGTAAACAACTGTGATTGGTATTTAGTAAATAACATTCACTGATACATCAGGGGGCTATTCCTAAGTCTCAGTACGGGCCCAGAAACCTCCAGTCTAGGGGATATGAAACTGGCAACCCTATACTAATTACTTAATCTCACTCTGCCCCAATGTGATGCCTTGTGAAGTTTCCACGAAGATCTGAAATTTGAGTACTGAACCCTCCTCCTCTCCCCCATTCCAAAGTGGCCAGGCAATACTCGCTGCACCCTGAAGCCTTTTGCTGAATGCTGTCTTGAGTGATGTTGCTGTCCGTTTGTGGAGACAGCATTCAGAGAGAGAGAATGGGAGCCCTCTATCATTGCTACTTTAATCCAATTTTGGTGATGACTTCACTGTCTGAGACACACTTGCATCCAGTCCTCCAGTAGCTCTTAGACCTTTGTATGCAGAAAACATTCAGAATCCTGCGCTTTGTTACAGCACAGACTTAACAGAATGAATCAAAGCATTACTTTCCTCAGTGCTCCGATTAGGATACATCTGAGTGAAATAAGATGAGAAATGTCCCAGGCGTGCTTATCTCCCTTCCTTCGCATTCCCTATTGGTCATAGGCTACCACTTCTGAATGCTGCAGCTCTTTCTCCGTCTTCTTCCATTTATCAGTCTCTAGCCTCTATGACCACAGTTCAAATCTAATTTGCTATTTTAAACTCAGACAACACTGAGCGGTAATCCATATCAGCATTGAAAATAATCTGGCTCAGTCTGCTTCTATTTAATCACTAGACAGTCTGTGAGGAGACATCCGGAAAATGAAGAGTAGGAAAAGAAAGCTAATGCTTGTCAATGCAGCTTCACTATGTCAAAAAGGCAGAAGTGGGCTAACTAGCAAGGAGATTTTGAAAGCTTCCAAGACAGTATATCTCAAGCTCTTTTCACACAGAACTAGTTTCTTATATGGAAATATTTCTTCTTTGTCACATGTATGCAGCAAGCACTGCATTGTGTTTCTACTTGAAAAGGGATGTGTTCCTTTATCAGAGTGACACCATATATACCGTGTCAGTACAGTTCTAAACCTGTATTGTCATTAATAGTTTGCAATTCATCTTCATACCCTTTTTTTGGTGAAAAGGTGGGATATAAATAATAAATAAAATAGTAGATCATTTTCAGAATGGATCCAAATTGACCTTTTCAAACACCTGCATATTGTCCCTCTTTAGTTTCACAGCTACTTCAGTTCTGTACCATTTTTACTCTCTCCTCAGAAAAGAGTAATCTCCTCTGGGGAAGTGCCAGGATACAAATCATAGGATAGGTATTCTCTTGCCCGCTTTTATGGTCCTTTTCCTGACTTAGGAATGATGAACTGCCTCTCCTGGAAGCAATTCACCTTTGAAATAGTTGTGGGGAACTCCTACATCATTTAACATGGAAGCATGTCAGTTTTTCTAAACCAGATTTGGACTTCTGGCCAAGCCTGTAGCCAAGGGGGGGGGGGGGGGGTTAAGGTTCAACCCCCCCCCCAATTTCAGGTTAAAAAAATCTGGTTTACTCATGAATTTTAACTGGTTAACCAAATCCCCATGCTAAGTCTATGAGATGCAAAAAATTAAGAGTCCCTCCAAAACTGCAAGCACTATCTCAAGCAAATATTGACAATTTATTCACACTGTCATTACTTCCAGCAATAGCTGATGTAGCGAAGCAACCAAGTTGGGGGTGTGTGTGTTGAATGCTCTCATTAAGAAGGCCAGACTTGGTGGAGGTGGTTGACAGGGGCGGAGCTGCAGGCTGTTGAAGGCTGCTCTGCCCCCTGCTGTGCTCTTTGCTTCAGCATGAGCTAGGAGGCAGGTTTCAACCCCCCCCCCCCCCCGAAATTTTCAACCCTTCCTGAATTTTTTTTCTGGCTACGGCCCTGTTTCTGGCCACTTCCAGTTTTATTTGATTACTTTCTTTTGATTGCAGTGTTGGTAATACATGCAACCCACTGTGCAGAAATGCATGATCTTCCATGCCAGTGGAGTACCCACCCTTTCCATATTCCCTTAAAATTCAATTGTGGCAACTGAAGGTCTGCTCTACTTTCCAAGAAGAAAGTCTTTGGTATAATCATAAAGAGCACGTCATTTGACATACTATCTTCTACTTAGCTTCAAAACACCACAAATTGCAAAAAGAATGATAAATAAAGTTAGCCATACCCTGGTAGCACATTATTTGTTCAGCACTTGGTTCTATCACATCGTTATGAATGACAGCTCCAGGATATTCAGCTTGTACCTTTGCAAGAATTTGAAGATCAATTTCTCCTAGAAAACAGATAAGAAAAAAGCAAAGGTTAGAAAGTTCATACATTACTTCGCTTAATAATTTGATTTATATGACCATGACTCATTCTTATATGGCAGGAAGTTGGATAGATGCCCCTTGCAGATCCTTCCAATTCTATGACCCTGTGATTGCAAATGTGAGACATATGAATGAGTGAAAGGGAAAGCTGTATAGTAACATCCCACAATTGGCTAGACATTTGCTCATAATCTCTCATGGCTGAACAGTGACAACCTATTAATGACCAAATGTTATAATATGTGCATAATTACGCACATGAAATATGTTGGGGTAGGGATGCAAGTAGAGGTAGGCACAAGATGCTATCAAGCTTGAATTGAAATGAAAGATCATGGCTGCAGATGCCCTTCTCATACTATATTGCAAGGAGGTTGAGAGCATGCTCCTTTCATCCACAGTCTCTGTGTATATATATGCGGGGGATTATTTTAGGATGCAATGTCAAAATAGGCATCATAATGCAAGATGCAAATGTGAACATTTTATTCCAGTAAGGAATTGCATCTGGAAATACATTCATTCCCTTGGATCTTTCTAATATTTTTTATTTGCTAATTTACACCACACCTTTTCACCCCACAGTTAGGATTCAAAATAAATATCAAAAAAAGTTTTGGTTTTTTTTTTAAAAAAAGAAATGATCCAGATTAAAGATAAATACAAAATTATTTTAAAAACTCTATAAATCTATACAATTTGGAAATATCCAAATAAACCACACACTAAGGAAAACCCTTTTCTTGTAATTTGAAAGGTCTTCACTCACCAATAGAAGGACAGCAAGGCAGTCAATGTATTACTCATACAAAACAATTTTTGGGGTAGCCACCCAGAAGACTCTTCTTTTCTACAACACATGCCTGTGGAGGTGGCAGGCCTTAGAGAAAGGCCATAGGTTCATATGAGATTGTGATGTTCTTTAGATAGCCTAAAACCAAGCTCTTTGGGGTTTATAGGTCATAGCTTTCAATTGTGCCTAGAATCAGATTGGCAGCCAGACTTTGGATCCCTTTGGTACTTTCCAAGATGAAACTGGGATGTGGGGAAACTCTTGTTGTTGTTGTTCATTCGTTCAGTTGTCTCCGACTCTTCGTGACCTCATGGACCAGCCCACGCCAGAGGTCCCTGTCGGCCATCACCACCCCCAGCTCCTTCAAGGTCAGTCCAGTCACTTCAAGGATGCCATCCATCCATCTTGCCCTTGGTCGGCCTCTCTTCCTTTTGCCTTCCACTTTCCCCAGCAAAATTGTCTTCTCTAGGCTTTGCTGTCTCCTCATGACGTGGCCAAAATACTTCAACTTTGTCTCTAGTATCCTTCCCTCCAATGAGCAGCCGGGCTTTATTTCCTGGAGGATGGACTGGTTGGATCTTCTCGCAGTCCAAGGCACTCTCAGAACTTTCCTCCAACACCACAGCTCAAAAGCATCGATCTTCCTTCGCTCAGCCTTCCCTAAGGTCCAGCTCTCACATCCGTAGGTTACTACAGGGAATACCATGGCTTTGACTAGGCGGATCTTTGTTGCCAGTGAATGAATGAATAAAGTTTATTGCACTAGCCATAGGCCATGACATCAATAACATACAACCTTTATAAACACATTAAATACAATCCAATGTTAACCAAAACCCGTTCAATATTTAAAAAACTAGTACTTTAAAATTTTGCTGGCAGAAACCTAGCAAAAACCGTGTCTGGTCTGTGTCCTCCCTAGCCATCTCCTTTTCCCTATCTGGTCTCCAGCGAGGATTTTGCTACTCTGTCTCTGATCTTTTGGGCTGCGATTGCAAATGTGGCTACTTTTAGTGTTATATTTTTGTCATAATCTGCTAGTAAGTCACCAATCATGGCAGGTTCTTGCCATGCTGCCCTTTCTTCAAGGAGTGTTCCCAGGAGATTTTTTCTGGGGTCATTATAC